GGGGGGGCAGATTCTGTGGCAAGTTCTGTCCTGTTCTGCATATCCATCAGTATCAGAATAATCCACCGACAGTCAGAAATACATTACCTGGTGTAAAGCAAAAAGGATACGTTAATAATCAGCAATAAAAATAAAATTGCCATTCCTGTCTCATGAAGCCACACCTCAACACAGATTGACGGGGACACACACACACGCAGAAGCAACACTTTAACTATATTCAGATATGCCATTATATTGATTCATTATTATAAAAGCAGTCAGAACAGCAATAACAACAATAATAATGATATTGAAATTGTTATTGTACTTTGGGTCGCATTTTGCACATTATTATGAGTCAAGTCACGCCTACTTCTGAACAAAATAGTAAAAACATATTTCAGACATTGCTTATTTTTAGTATATCTGTAAAGCTTTTTGAATATTTATTTATTTCGCGATTTTTACATTTTGTTCCTACCCACGAGTGTGCTTTTACATAGCCTTGTTTGTGTTTTCGATCCTGTTGTAAATAGCCTGTTATGTAAACCTGAATTGCCTCGTTTAAAGGTCGCATACAAACAGGCTGCTGTACATGTCAGTTGCCGTGATGTCACTATTATTCATAGGTTTAGCAGTTATATTATGACTACATAATTACAAAAGAAATCTCGCCGGGATGGATTGAAGGCATAACTTCCTTCACCGGGGGCCCTGCCTGAAAGGATAACTCGGCTCGGTTCCCTCCAATCATCAGTCTCTCTGTCAGCTGTATGTATCGTTAGCCCAGCAGCTAGCTGCAGCTCACCAGGCCAGAGCGGCCGGCCGGTGCATCATCATCCTCAGCTCCCAGCCATGGCGTTGGTTACTCTGCAGCGGTCCCCGACCCCGAGCGCCGCTTCCACCGCCAGCACAGCAACTACGACCGCGGGGGAGGTGAGTTTGGTGCCGAGTGAAGCAAAGCTTCAATGCTCCGTTGTGGTGGTGTCAGAGTGAGGATGAGGGAGATGCTGCCAGAGGAAGGCCTGCTGATTGAGACTGAATTAGCTAGTTAGTTATGCTAGGCTGTTAGCTCATGGTAGCTAGCAAACGTTTTCGTTACAGAGAGTTGTAGCTGACTATCGCTTATTCCAATTAGTCTGTGAAATCTTTTTTTGTTATTTAATAATATTAAAGAAACGCCACACCTGTTCAATTGGCCAGGTGTCCATTTTAAAGAGCTAACGTTAGCTTAGTTTGACAAGTGCCTCATAAATGATAAGAGCTGTGGCTAACATTAACGTTAGCTGTTTATGATGTGAGTGGCTGACATTAAAAATGAACGTTTTTCTTAAATATATCAAGCACACAGCACTGTCAGGGAGCTTAATGCACTGCTGCTATATTTGCATTAATTTACTGACACTAAAGCTGTGTGGATGTTTTGACTCGGCGGACTTGACCATAAAATACCTATTACAGAAATCAAATTGGAAACAGTTACACACAGATTATCGCTATTCTAATTTCCATCGTGCTGTGTCGTTGGTCGTGCGATTAAGCATGGGAAAATACCATATTCCTGGCAAACAGACACATACGACGACAACTGAAATTGTTAATACTTAACTGTAACAGTAGATAGTCACGGTTTGAGTTTTCTGCATACTTTCACTGAGAAGAAGTAATGGTTTAAGCCATTCAAAATAAGTTCCCTTTGCTATTTAAGTAGTTATTCGTTACCAGATGGGGGCGCTAACTACCAGCTATAGGCAGAGAAGCTTACCTTGTGCTGCTCTCTGCCTGTAACAGAAACTAGAATTACTATCTATAGCTGGCTTTATTTACAACCAGAAGTGTGTGAGCTGTGTTAGGTAAGGATAGGCTGAAATACTTCTTATTTCTACCTTATTTTGTACTCATAAATATGGTGACACGTTATTTAGTGCAAGTAGATTGTCTCCTTTTTCTAAAGGGGATTTTTTTTTTTTGGTCCTGTCCTGTATGTCATTGTTGCCTGACGGCTGTTTAGGTGTGACAGATAAAGCTGGCAGAAATCTGCTGCAGCTATGATGTCATCTGCTCATGAGGGGTGGGTGGGGTGGAGAAGGACTACTGTAGGAAGGGGAGGAAGGAGAACTGAGGTAAACAGGGAGGCAGGAGATACTGGTATGAAGGCATGAGGCAGCTAATGTGTGAGGTTATTTTCATGCTTATGCACAATAATAAAGACACTCAGCTCGCTGTGCATTACTTTGTGGAAGCCCGTGCAAAATGATTTCCTTCCGTCCTCCCTACGAATGGTACTCCTCATTTTTATTTTTCCTTTTAGCTGAATGTTTGTTACATTCAGCATCAACTGAGTCCCATTGCCAGTACTTTAATGCACCTTCACTGTGACAAGAAAAATCGTCTTTGGAACAACATCTTTCAAAATATTGATGAACTTCAGAGTCTTATCTACTCTTACCTTGTAAGCTTCTCTTGGTGGTGTGGCTGCCTTTAAAATGAAGGTAAAACATGTACCTTGACTACCCTGGCATTTACTTCAGAGTCATGTTTTCAATCAAACTCTACCCTAGCATCCCTACAATCCTGCTGTGGTGAGCCATTGTTGATACGGTTAAGAATAGGTGTTTGAAGTTGTACAGCTTTCTTACAGATCATTTGATCACATGAGTAGCTGTAGTGGTGGTAACCCTAGAAAGTATGCTTTCTATCAAAATTTAGTATCTCTGTATGTTCATCTTCCAAAATGTAGATGCTGAATGTATAGCACCTCCATTGCTGCTTGTTTTTTTGCATACATTTATCAGAGTTTGTGCTTAGTAAAATACAGACAAGACTATAGTTCTGCTATAGCAGTAACAGTGCAGTTGAAATGATTTCAGTATGGTATAAATCTTTTCTGTTATCTCTGTTGCAGGATTTTGGGAGTGAAGATGAACGGCGAGTAAATCTGAGGTAAGTTTACTTCAAATTTAGCTTAAGCTTTCTGTGATATGGTACCACACAGGTGTTATCAACTGACTGTCTGCATCTGCCTTTGAGTCATTTAGTAAAACCTGGAATATTGGCAAACAAGGCGCTATCGGTGAATGAGCACACCTGATTGTCAGAGTCATAAAAAGCGTGTGGGTGTGTGTCTGATTAAAGTCTACAGTTCTTAAAAGCCAACTGTAAAAAAACAAAAACCCAAACAAAAAAAAGCATGCTGTTCCTAGTAGTCTATCATGTAATATGTTGACAATTATGTCTGTTTATTTATCAGCACTTAGACCGATCAACGTGTTCTTGGACTGCGCGCCATTATCTGAGTCACTTGGCGTTCCCACAGCTTCTCTTTTTTGCCTTTTAACTGTGTGTGTGTGTGTGTGTGTGTGTGTGTGTGTGTGTGTGTGTGTGTGGCATAGATTGAAAAAAAAACTTAACATTTAGGATTTGATCTTTTTACTTATTAAAAACACACAATATCAGCATTTTTTTTTTTTTAAAGTATTTGACAGCAAGCAAATTATTAAGCAGTGTTTAATGAGTGTAGATAAAAAAAAAAAATGCTTACTGACTCTCTAGTCTGTTCGGATGGATGTGTCAGGTACACTCAGTAGCCACTTTGTTAGTTGCCAGTACCAGGTTGGAGAACTGTCTTAATTCTACGTGGCACAGATTCAGCAAGGTGCTGAAAACATTCCTCAGAGACTTTGGTCCACACTGGTATCATCACACAGTTGATGATGAATTGTTGGCACAGTCATGATGTGAATTTCCTGTTCCACCACATCTCAAAGGTGCTCAGTTGGATTAAGATCTAGTGACACTGTAAGCCATTTGAGCACAGTGAACTCCTTGTCATTTTAAAGAAACCAGTTTGAGACTTTTTGAGCTTCATGACATGGTGTGTTATTCTGATGGAAGCAGCCATCAGAAGATGGGAACAGTGTGGTCACAAAGGGATGGACATGGTCAGCATCCATACTCAGGTAGGCTGTGGCATTTAAACAATGCTCAGTGGACTAAGGAGACCAAAGTGCTTAAAGATTGCACTACCAAAATTGAGGTCTAATTTTGGTGAGCCTGTAGATTCAGTTTCTTGTTCTTAGCTGCCAGAAATGGCATCTGGTGTAGTCGTCTGCTGCTGTTGCTTATCTGCTTCAACGTTCAACGTGTTGTGCATTTGGAGATGTTCTTCTACATACTTTGGTTGCAGCAAGCGCTTTTTTTAGTTGCTCTTCTTTTCTGTTGTATCAAAGCAGACTCGCCATTCTACTCTGGCATAAACAAGGCATTTTTGCTCAGACAGCTGTCGCTCACTGGTAAACCCTAAAGATGGCTGCGTGGGAAAATCCCAGTAGATCAGCAGTTTCTGAAATACTCTGACCAGCCTGCTTTCTTTCCATTTTGATGCTCAGTTTAAACTTTTACAGGTCATAGTAACTATGTCAGGTGTATCTAATAATGCATCATATATATTATGTGTTTATATTATGTAGGAATATGAGAAATCTGACATGAGTATAATGTACAGCAGCCATAATTGTTGTAATCTGTTCTTTTCAGTCTGAAGTGGGTTTCCCTTTGTGTTCCTGATCTTATAACAAGAACAAGAGTGCATTTTTAGAACAGTCAATGATTTCAAGAAACCACTTGGCTCTAGTAACTTGTGTTTTGAGCATTCAAATTTGTGAATACTCCCAAGCTGAATATGTTTGGTTTGTTATCTTTGGATAAGGGATTCATGCATTACAAGTTCTATGACTCAGCTGTGTTCAGTAATAAACTCAGTTTTCTTCCAAAAGTTTCTTCTGAGTCCCTGGGGCAGCTTGAGAGAGAGAAAGAGGTGTGTTTTTTCAAAATAGAGTAATTGTCCCTTTATCGTGTGTTATTTTATTCTTTTTGTAACATTAATGCAAATGCACTGTTTTAGGCTCTTTGAGTTTATGTTGATGTAGATGTGTAAATATTTTTGACAGAGAAAACATGAAGCAATTTTTAAAAAAAGTTTTCTTCCAATAACTGTGCAAGATGTGAAGGTTTAAAACATTAAATGCAATGACTGTAACCGCTGTATTTTGAAAAATGAACTCGGCCAAACTGAATCTCAAAGCACAGGCAGACTTTTTATTTCACAACAAATCAATACAATAACTTTTGTAACAGCTTAGTCCCATGTACAAAATAAACTTGTCAAGATGGTGAAACAGAGAAAGCCGGTCTTTGTGTGTCACTAATATTGACAGATTTCTCTTTTCTCCTGTTGAAAGTTCTTTGTTCTCATAAACTTGATTCCCTGATTTCTTATTATTCACTTTGGATGATGTGTGCACATTCATCATTTTAAGAGCTTAGTTTCTTTTGGAGTTATGCAATCTTCTGTGCTGTGTCCCCAAGCAATGCATGTGTGAGGGAATGATCTATGTGTGATGCGAGTGCTGGCATGCCTCAAGATTTCTTTCATTTTTTGAGGAGTCTGTAAGATAACATTCTGTGGTTAAAATGCCAGTAAATTCATGTTTATAGTAAGGCGTAATAAGTTGTCTTTTACTTGACAGGCACATTTCTCTTCAGATAAGACTGCTTATCTTCTGCGGTAGATATGTAGTTGCATCTGTTAATTGACAGCTGTGCATCTGCCAACTGGGAGTATTTGTGCTCGCTGTTCCTGGCCCACCTCGATAATGATGACGAATTGGAGGGGTTGATTTGGGCCAACATAAACATCATGCAGGTGTCTATGGCGCTAAACCAAGGAATGATTTCATTTTACCACCTTGTACACAGCAGAGGTGGGCAAGACACAGAATCGGACAAAAAATGTGTGTTAATGTGTGCGTTAGAGAAAGAAAGCACAGCGCAGATAGTGAGATGAAGGACTGGTAGATGAGGTTGTCCACAGGCACTAGTATACTTGTACTTTTATTGTCCAGAAAGTAAATACTTTTACTCTTTTTTTTTTTTTTTGGCAGAACAAACTACAGTAGAATCACTAGATCCGGGTCTATTTTTCTCTGTAACACGATGACGTTATTCGTTTCCTGTTCAGGCCCTTCAAAACTCCACAGATACTTGAGGAGGTCTGTTCCTCCATGTCTGGCCCCTCCCTCTCTTTACTGCTTTCAGTGGTGTCAGTGAGAAAAATGGCAGCATTATGCAACTGACAGCCCCGAGAGGAGGCTTTTTTCCCCTTATTGTGCTGCTGTGTGCAAAACACTCTAAGACCGTGGATAAACCCGCCTGGTTACAGCCTCTGTGTAGCCTCTTTGTGAGTGCTCAGTCTAGTCCAGAGTACCTTTCTAACATAGCAGCTCACCTGGTGACTCAGAGCAGTGCTTTAGCAGACATCTGGTCCTGCTTGGCCCCATTCAGGTCCACCTGGACACTTTTATAGGAACAGCCTACACCTTAATTAAATGACATGCCTTTATTCCTACCTGTTGCTTCTAAAGCTTGACCTTAAATGCAGAATAAGTTCCTATGTTCAGGTCTACGCTTCTGCTTCCTCCACCTGGCACATCAAGCTGTTTAGGGTTTCACCTGGACTGCCACAGAGCAGTTTGTAGAGTACAGCACCTGCTAGTAACCACGGGTGTTACAGACGATGTCCCATTGTTGAGGAGAAAAGGAGGGCTATCTTGTTATCCGTGTCGCAGAGCTATTGTTAGTGTCTGTTAGCCAATCTTCTCAGATTAACACAGTAGTGCCGCTTCATTGTATACGTGTGGGGGGTTAAATGCTTGGTGAGAAAGAGAAAGTGCAAAGGAAAGTTATAGCCTAGGCTACCATGTGGCTGCACGTTTCACCAATTGTTGTGAACTATAATGGCCTCATTGTATTTAATTTCAGTTCCATATTTTCCTTCTTTACCTGCATTTAAAAGCAATAGTCCTTGCTGACATATTAGAAATAGAAGATATGCTTGTTTTCACCTCTTGTAATCTCCAACAATATAACACAATGTTGTTTGTTTGTGGTTCATGTGAATGAGTGAGAACCAGCACTGGCCACTTTAAGGAAAGAGCCAAGATAATCCCTCCCTTATAAGCCTGCGTATAATGAGATTTAGGAGTTTTGGGTCGTTGCCAGTTCTTACTGTCCTATCCAGCCATGCTTGGCCCATGTGTCAAGCAGCCTGGAGGAACTACCTTGGATTCTGTTGACCTATAATGTGGCATGGAGACATCCCATTAGGGAGTTTCAAGCCAAAATTCCTCAGTCTGCTTTTTTGTCTTTCAAGTGGTTTTGCTTTTCCCCTGCTTTTCCGTCGTTTTGCAGACATGGTTTTAGCAACACAACATTCTGGAGATAAATGTTCTGCATTAGCTAAGGAAGAAACCACCTCTCTTTAACTTTGTCATTCTCAGCTGACACAGATTTCATACTGGAGATCTGCACTTTGAGTGATACTGGAATATCTTAATTGTAACAGAGCTCAGTGTAACACTGCAAAAGTGTGTGATAGAGACAGGACAGACTGGGAGACGAGGGAGACTGGTTGTGTGAGCCTGAGGCAACGGGTGGAGGCTGCACTATGTCCCTGCAGGAAGAAGGCTGACTTGCACAAAGAGACGCTCACATGAGGGAGGAGGAGGAGGTGAAACGGAGGGAGTGGCATCTGAACAGGCGGCACTTCTCTACTGAGCAGCGCAGATGAGTACAGGCTGTCAGTCAGTCTGTCACTCAAGAGTGCTGTAGCCACCATTCTTCTCTTGCTTTGCTCCTTCGCTGTTTCTGGAGGCTGACCAAGAGGGGTTACCTCGTGCAGGAGACGTGTGTGTCTGGTTCGGGTTAACAGGATGTATCTGGTTGTAGAAGCCATTGAGGAGGCCATGATGAAGATGCTACCTTATTTTGTGAAGAATGCAGTGTTGACCCAGAGTGAGATAAACCGCATGTAAGTTAAGTTTAACTTCTAAATGGGATTTAAACAGCTAAGAATGAAATCCTTCATTGATATGATAGTGGTTAGATTTTTAAACAACTTGGTATATTCTAACTTTTAATAAAATCTGTCAGTATAAGTTGTTGAAGATTGGCTGGATTCTATTCTAACAGATGCCGTGGCGTCTTTTCAGGTCAACAGACTAAGTTGGTTTTAGGACCTTTCCTGCTGATATGAGATAATGAACATCAGTTAAAAGGAGTTATGCGATTCCAAAATCTTGGATTCACCATCATTCTGTTAGTAGCTGTGCTCTTGTGACTTTTTCACTGTGATCTTTTCACTATGATGTAAATAAGGTATGGGTACAGCACTCCACATTCTAGCTGAATCATTTTGGCTATCTGGCGAGCTTTTCTTTCATAGTCTTTTGTTGTTTTTGTTTTGCTTTGATACCAGATGTATTTTTAGCCATAGTGTTTGTGGAGAAGCTGATAGCAGGGTGCTGCAGGGTAAGAGACAGTAGGTTCAATTAGGATGTCTGAGTGTGATCGTGAAGCTGCGGGACAGCTCTTGATTTTACACGAGGACAAGTTTCACAGATTCTCAAGTTTCACCAGAGTGCACTTTTGGTTTTTGTTTTTTTTGCTAGAAGTTATCTAGTATCACAGGTTAAGATCAGTGAACTTACAGTTGGATTACAACTTAGAAAATGAAGGCAGCATGGATTTTGTGCAAATTGCTGAGCAATAATGGGGCTGTTGCTCTGCTCTGGCTCTTGGTATTGCCACTTTTGGCACATATAGTCGTTCCCTGACAGTAGACCTTCCTGACAGCGTAATAAATCCCAAGCAGAGAACACAGTGAAACAAAAATCCTCCAAAGTGAGACAAAAAGCTCTTGTTGAGAGGTGTCCACCCCCATACTTTGTCACCGAAACTTTTTTGCTGTGCTGCTGGGGGCGGCCCGAGTTTATTGTGAGGTGTACAAAACGAAATCCTTTGTTCCCACAAAATCATCTGTTTTGAGCCAGGCCTGCTCTTGTGTATGTGGGTTGTGAAAGTATGATCAGAGAGGGCTGTTTGGGAGAGGAATTCCAGAGCTGGATATAAAAATGTGCAGCAGTTGATTTAATTCAGATGAGGACATTTATGATAATAATTCATATTTGAGTTTTTCCTCTGAGGCAACCTTAGGAGCCACTGCAGTAATCGGCAGTTTCCCCTGGAAGTGTGATTTCATCTCAATTCTTTTCATTAAACTTCTGCAAACTTGAGATGCAAAATATTTTTTCTTTTCTTTCATAATCATAAACTGATGCCAGTGTTGCTTTCTAAGCTCACACAACTTGAAAACAGTGATTTCCTGATGACCGTATTTTCAGGCAGGCACTTCTTTAGTACATGTTAGGATTTTGTTTTTTCAAAGATGTCCTGGTTTGCCAGAGTGCACACACAGAATACGTGATGCATGTGTTCCATGCAGCTGCCAGGTACTGTAGATTTATGAATGCGTTGACATTGTTTTTCAGTGAAATGGAATGATTGAATTCAGCCCGGAGGAAACACCTCACTTATTTATTTATTTTTGCGCCTTCATACTTGTGTCGTCTGTTGACACGTCTTAAGCCTAACCTGAAAAACTCATGGATTTTTACAAGCAGGTGTGACGTAGTAATTGCTGCTTTTCGGTCTTTGTGGAGGTTAAGCGCCACAAACAACTGCAGTTTGGTCAGTTATTTGGGCCTGTGCTGCATTATACCAAGACAGTGGAGTCCTGACAGGTCAAATCTGAGTGCAGCAGAAAAAAGACAGATAAGCATTCAGGATCAAAGCTTGATTCATGGCGGCTGCAGACCTGACGTCTGGGCCTGTAACATGGCAGCTGGGCTTTTCCACTCAGCTGTTGAGGTAATTCGCCCTCAGCAGACAACCAGGATTTATTGTCATCTTGTTGGATGAACAGAAGCATCCTGTTTTTAAAAAAATAAAAATAAAAAATTCATTTATCTCGTGTCCCACTGTTTGGTTGAGTTTTCCAAAGAGCAACCTGAGCTGTTGCTCTGCTGAGTTGTGGTTTACACACAGTGTGTCTTTTCTAAAGATGTGTAACCCCTGACTTTCCTCTCATTTGTTTGCAGCCTGAGTGAGAGCTTCTTCATGGTGAAGGGTGCTGCTCTCTTTCTGCAGCAGGGAAGCAGTCACCAGGGCCAGAAAGCACATCCTCATCACAAACATGCAGGTGAGACACTACAATACCCACGTCATTCACCCAAACTGAACTCATGAGCTTGTGAATCTCTTCATTAGACTTCTCATCCAGGTTAGCTGGTAAACTTCCTAACACTGCAGCAGATGTTTGCGGCTGAGGTGTGGAGAATGGAGGCTGCCTCGTTGATAAGCATGTTCCAGACGTGTAGCTTAGGCAGATTAGTGCTTAAATCCAGCGTATGTTAGCACTGTGGACAAAACTTCTGCTGACGATTAAAGGAGGGCCTTATCATTTGAACTACTTTGCTTGTGTTAACTTTACCTAGTAACTATAAACAGTTGTACTCAGATTTCCCTTTTGTGACTTTGTTTGGTAGTTTTTCATCATTTTAGCTCAAGCAAGATAAACAAAATTATTCAAGTTTAATTTTTTATGTGAAACCGAGTTTGTGGTTCTTTGTGTAAATTAATGCCACAATACCATTATATTGCAATAGAATACTGGAATTTGGATATTGTAGAAATAGAACCATTATGCAAATTGTTTTAAGTCTCTCATTTATGGTTACACTCCTGTGAGGCCTGTTTGAACTTAAACTAGTGATTTATCTGTAATTGATTTTCTATTGATTAAAGTCAGAGGTTTCGTTACAAGTTGAACTGAACTTGCATGTATCTTTAATCACTTTTGAAAGACACAATTATAGCTTTAAAGACATAAGGCTTACGAGTCAGTCCAATGACATTATGGGTCTTTAACACTAGCCAACAGTTGAAGCACTGCCAAGTCACTTGGCAAGTGCTGGCTGCGACTGGCAGCTTGGTCTATGCTGCCAGCCACTTTGTCAGGTAACCCACATATTTGAAGGTCCTACTTTGTCCTCAAACACATTTTACTATGGAAATACTTGTGTAATTTCCCAGTAACTCTGGCCTTTAAGAAACGAAAAGTGCAGAACAGTGAGAGGGATTCATGCAAAAACGTGCATGAGAAGAACAACTGCTCTGTGGGAATAAAATATTTTGGTCTCATCAACCAGTTTTGTGGAAATAACCATGACATTAAAAATACAATGCTCTGCAATCTGGGAGACAATATTTATGTGGCTGTGACGTGTTTGACTTTACATATGAGTGAGCTGTTTGGTTGTTGTTAACTTCTCTCCAGGCTCAGTGGTTTAAGTGAAGACTTTAAGTTGAACTAGTTTAAACGAGACTAACAAAACAATGAATACAGTGCATTTATGTGTTGAGTATGACTGGTAACTTGCAGCTGTTAGTGTTAGGAACTCACTTGACTTTGATCCACAGCATGTGAATAGTTTTCTGAGGATTTATTTCTAACAGCTATGAAGAATGAACCCAAAGCATAAACAGGGTCTGTCAAATAAATTCAGAGTAATGTTTTAGTACTGAAAGCAATAACTTGGTGGAGGAGCTTTAGAATACCTTCAATATAGTGTTGATCCTCCTCTTTTTTTTTTTATTTGTAGGTTTTAAATATAATGTATATAGTTTAAGCCTGGCCCAAAAATCAGAGCAGAGAAATGAAATGACACTGCCAGAAAGAGTCTTTTACCTTGTCTCATGCCAGTATCTGTAAGTTAAACCAGTCAGGATGTCAGTTTGTTTCTCCTGACCTGTTGTGACATATTTCAAAATAGCTGGCTCTCTATCAACTGCTGGTCCATCTTCACGCCCTGTTTTATTATCCAGCTCCACTGACATGTCTTGGCAGATAGATCACTCAGTGATATAAAAGGAGCCAAGACAAGTTCTTGAGTTGTTGTGGTTAGATAAATTTGTGCATGCAATTTCATTGTCAGTTCACGTTTTGTCAGCTGTTAAGAATCACTGAGCAGGTGATCTGTTCGTTTTTCCAGGAGCAGATATTAGTTTTGGCCTTGATGTTCAACACTAGGGAGCAGCCTAATTTCACTTACCTTCAGTATCCTGCAGCAGTGCATTTAATAAGCCACTGTGCTTGCTTTTTATTCTCCTTAATTCTCCTTATTGTTTTCAAACTACAAATGTGTGTATGCTGATGAACATTTATAATAACTGTCACCACCTCAACAGGTGACTTACCTCAACACCTGCAGGTGATGATAAACATTCTTCGATCAGAGGACAGAATCAAACTGGTAAGAGACAGCTTAAATCTGTTCATACATCTAGATGGAAATACACACACACACACACACACACACACACACACACACACACACACACACACACACACACACACACACACACACAGTGAGACCAGTGACTAACAAACCCTCCAGAATGCATTTTATTGTGTAATCAGATGCTTATTTGCTCACTGTAATTATTAGCTCACAAGGGCAGGTTTGAACATACTCAGGAGAGCATTACAACATGTTTCCATAGCATAGGGGTGTATGTGTTACCCACTTTATGTTTACCACCTATGTGCCCGCACACATCCTGAGAACTCAGCTACCCTGTTGCATCAAGCGTGCGACACTTTGTTGGACAGAAAAGCAGTTTACCAGAATTTTCTTGCTTCTCCTGTGCATTAGCTTTTCTGCCTGTGTGAAGGCAGTTAACACAATGTTTACATTTTAATTCTTGTATAAATACTTAAATTAGTGTTTTGAAATTTTATAACCTGGATGGAACACTTTGAATTCCACTGTTTGTGTCTTGTGCAGGCGGTACGGCTGGAGAGTGCATGGTCAGATCGTGTGCGGTACATGGTGGTGGTGTACACCAGTGGGCGACAAGACACAGAGGAGAACATCCTTCTGGGAATCGACTTCACCAACAAAGACTGGTAAAATATGTAGAGTTTAATATTCTTAAAGGCTAAGCTCCATTAAAGACTTGATATTTTTATTGACTTTGTGTTTATTCTGAACAAGACAGATGAAATACTTTATACAATATGTACTTGTGAATGTAGATAGCACTCACCTGCACCACTCTGACTGAAGCTTAAAATATGTCCTTGTTTCTAGCCACACACAAGCTCAAACCTTTGTACCTTAAAACAGTTGACATTTAAATGTTACTATTTCTCTGTTGGAGGCATGGAGTTACCTGTGAAGCTAGTAGTTTTAAACAAAATACAAATTTCTTGTAACAACTGAATTAAAAGTCTATGTAAACATTGTTCTTTCATTCCCCCTTTTTGCCTTTTTTATTCTACTTTTCCAGTAAAAGCTGCTCGATAGGCATGGTGCTACCTCTGTGGAGCGATACAAAGATCCACTTGGATGGAGATGGGTGAGTTTGGTTTTTATTTTATTTTTTAAATTCTTTCTTTATGACCCTTGTTTTAAGGACAGAGGCCACAGCTGGAGCATTATCGTGCTGCTTTTTTTTTTTTTTGCATCCATCCCTGACACTTTAGATGAACACATAGTAACCATCTGTTTTATTTGCTCCTCAGGGGTTTTACTGTGAACACGGCAGGTCGGACTCATGTCTTCAAACCCGTGTCAGTGCAGGCTATGTGGTGAGTAATGATCAACCCCCGGAGTCACAGTGGCTGGCTGCTACAGTTGACTTTCATGGCACACAACAATAAATCCCCTAATAGACAGACTCTGCTGCAATGGTGCAGGCTGAGGCAGTGCTCAATATGCCACCTACTGGCATAAAGACATATGTGCACAAAAGTGCACAAGGCCAAACTGTAAACAACACAATCATGTGATTTTATTTTATTATTATTTTTTTCATCATTAAAGAGAATCAAACTATCAATTCTTTATTTTCCTATTCAACAACCATCTAGGTCAGCCCTGCAGGTTCTGCACAAAGCATGTGAGGTTTCACGCAGGTATAACTATTTCCCTGGAGGAATGGCTCTTACCTGGATTGGCTACTATGAGAGCTGCATTGCTTCAGACCAGAGCTGCATCAACGAGTGGAACGCCATGAAGGACTTGGAGACCACACGACCAGACTCGCCCACCATGTTTGTCGACAAGTCAGTAAACGCGGTCCAACTTAAATTTTGTTGAAATGGGTTCAGATTCTTTTGGAGCAGCTGTCTTTAACAAGTGCTGAGAGTTTCATGAGACATCATCTTTTGCAGGCCTTCAGAGAGAGAGAGGACAGAGTGCCTTATTAAAGCAAAACTCAGAAGCATCATGACGTGCCAGGACCTTGAGAACGTCACCTCCAAACAGGTTTAAAAAAAAAAAAAAAAGTCATTTACTTTCCATTTCATGTGGTTTAGTTTTGAAAGGCTTCCTTTAAATTTTATTCTTTAAAGATTTATCATTATTTATGGAAATACTTGGGCACGCCTGTGCAAATTTCTTGCTTTGGAAGTGAAAAGAACTACTAAGCAAACACCTAAACATGCATCCTACTTTTTTCTCATTAACTTAAATTATAGCATTTGTCTATCCTACCAAGTTGTTACTAACCCCTCTTTACACCATTTATCTTTTCTATTCTTGATTTAGGATTTTATTCACTTTTTACCATATAGCATAAAGTCTCCCTGCAGAGTTTCTGTTTAGGAAACTCTGAATGCCACTCCATACACTCTGTGCTTGTTGAGCTCTAGATTGGATTTGTTTTTTACTTAAATTTGGTCACTGTAGTCTCTTCATCAAGAAACGGATGCAGTGAATTGGGCTTACCCAAGCGCAATGCTTTAGTCTTCTGTGATGAGGTTGCAGGTAGGATTTCCTTTTTAGATGTAGATCCTGTTTCTGCATCAGTGCTGCAGAGTGGAGAGGTGCAGTGCCACTTGTGTCAGCTAAACCTTCCTGCAGCTCCTTTGCAGTTATATGAAGGTCAATATTCTGCTTAGGTTTCACCCAGCAGATGGGCAGTTGTATCTGAAAGTATTAATAGTCTTTAAGATGTTGTCAGTACCTCCATGTTATTGCTTTAACTGCCATTTCTTAATGTCAATTTTTGACTGTCTAGCTTGCAAGATAAAAGATGTTTTGAATAGCCCCTGTCGTTTGTTTTGGTAGGTCACTTGATGAAATAAAAATCAATGGCCTAACTTGTTAAAAGAGATCACTTAAATGTGTGTTTATTGCCCTTCACACATAAATCATGCTGTGTGTTTTTTGTTCAGATCCGTACAGAGTTGGAGCAACACATGAACTGCAACCTTAAGGAATACAAAGAGTTCATTGATAATGAGATGCTGTTGATCCTGGGTCAGATGGACAAAGCCACCCTCATCTTTGACCATGTCTACCTGGTGGGAAAACTAATGCTCTCTCTTACATTGACAGAAACATTTGCTACATCTGTTGTTTCCTGCGAGTAGCTGAGATAAAATGATTCCTTTTCTGTTCTACCCCAAAGGAACATTAGTGTTAAAGTAATCTTGCCTTTAAAATCATTGTTTTGGAGAAAGAACAGTCTCCCGAAGATTTGAAAATATACCCAGTCTAAACATTATTTTCTCTCATTTTGTTTTTTAGGGCTCTGAATGGAATGCATCTAATTTGGAGGAGCTGCAAGAGTCAGGGTGATTTATTTTAGATAATAGAGAAGCTCAGATATCCACATAAAAAAAACATATTTTCATTATGATTTGAGCAAGAAAGAATGCTGTTGATGAGTTCATGTTATCTTTCCTCCCCAGGGTGGCCTATATACTCAATGTAACCCGAGAAATAGACAACTTCTTTCCAGGCACATTCAGTTATCACAACATACGCGTCTACGATGAAGAGGCCACCGACCTGCTTGCTCACTGGAACGACACATATAACTTCATTGTTAAAGCAAAGTGAGTCCTGAGTGGAACAGAAAACATGTTGATGATATAACTATCTGTATGTCATCGTCACTAGAGACTTACTGTCAACAAAGCTAGTATTTTAGTGAAGTAACACATTAGTACATATAAATATACAGCTGAGGTCATAAATGACCCCACTTGGTAACTTCAAGGTTGTAGTACATACACTTACTCATTCATTAGGCACACCTTGCTAATACTAGGTCAGACCCCCTTTTGCAGTCAGAACTGCCTAAAATTCTTTATGCCGTAAATTCAACAAGGAAACATTCCTCAGATTTTGGTCCATATTGACATGATAGCATCACGCAGCAGATGATGCGAATCCCCTGTTCCACCACAGCCCAAAGGTGTTCTCTTGGATTATCCTGCTGGAAGCAGCTGTCATAAGATGGCCCCACTGTTTTATGTAATACTCAGGTAGGCTGTGGAGTTTAGTGTTTGGCTGGTAGCAAATATCCTTCATACTATTGCACCACCACCACAAGCCTGTCTGGCACAAACAACCATGCCATGTTCACTTAAACTGCCTTTCTCCCCAATTCTGATGCTCAGTTTAAACTTCAGCAGGTTGTCATGACCGTGTCTAAATGACTAAAAGCCATTGAGGTGTTCCCATGTGATTGAATGTTTAGATATTTGTGTTAAAAAGAAGTTGAACAGGTTTAGGTAACAAATCTATTATGTAGCAGAAAAACTGAATTCCAGCTTAACTTCCTGCTTTGGGGATCATATTTTCTGACAACACTTGAACCAGCCAGGCAGGTTCTTGAAGTGCTGATTAACACAAAATTTGCTTTGGTAAAGTTCACACAGTGGGGAAATAAAGGGATCCACCAGTTTAAGTGTTGAGGAGGTGCTCAAGTCCATAAGCTGAGGCCACAAGTGGAAAAAGAGAGATTTTGGGAGTGAGAGAAGGAGCAGCAAGGAGAGAACAAAGTAAACAATTGAGAAAACAAACCTCACATGATTATTTTATCACGTGTGTGTTCCAAAATATTGCTTAATAAGTGTAAAACCGTTTCAGCATTTTCTGTTTTACTTTGATCATCCCTTTCACAAAACAGCTGAATCGAGTAATAGAATGAGTCTGGTTTACTTATTAAGGAAATTAGTCCTCAGATGCCTCTTTTGTTTTTAATCTACTATCCAACCTCAACAGTTTTTCAGATGAGACGAAGGCAAATGTGGAACAGGAAAGTTTGTAGTTTATTTGGTTATTTTCATTGCTAATTGATGTTTATGTGTGTTTTATAAAAATGTGCATGTATTCCTTCCCACAGAAAGAACCGCTCCAAGTGTCTCGTTCACTGCAAGATGGGTGTCAGTCGGTCTGCCTCCACCGTCATCGCTTATGCCATGAAGGAGTACGGCTGGTCGCTAGAGAAAGCTTATAACTTTGTCAAGCAAAAGAGGAGCATCACGCGACCCAACCCAGCTTTCATGAGACAGCTGGCAGAATACGAAGGCATTTTGGATGCCAGGTATAATCCCTCGATTGATCTATGCATAAATTGTAGGTGAACTCTTTAAGCTTTTTTTTAAACTTGTGTTTGGTCTCTCTCTGTTTTCAGTAAACAACGGCACAACAAGCTCTGGCATCCAGACGGAGACTGTGAGATGGCCGAGGGACAGCAGGGAATGGCTCAGTGCTGCAGAGGAGAGGAGGGAGGCATCCTGACTCCAGATCCAGGAATGTCTCCCTGCTGTGAGGAAGCACTATCTGATAAAGGTGCAGCGTGCCCCTCCCCATGCAGGACTGTTCCCCTGGAGAACGACCCAGCCTACAACAACTATTACTTCCGCCGTCTCTCTGACTCTGCGCTGGACAGTGAACCATCAACACCTGTGCGCGGCCCTCCCCTTCTCGGCATGGAGAAGGTCTTTATAGAAATTGAGGATGTGGAAAGGGATGCTCTGCTGGATGACGAGGCCTTTGATGGCCGTGAGGGCTTGCCGCTCCCCCACTTTGGGCCGACGGCAGAGGGGACTGCGGCCCAGACCTGCAGTCGCGGTCCGGAGCCCCTTGAGGAGCTGCGTCTGAGGCTGGAGTTCAGCACAGTGGAGGAGGAGGATGAGGAGGACGTGCAAAAGGAGGAGGCAGAGATGGAGGTATTAATGCAGCCAGATGATGAAGGCGGTGGTGAAACGCAAGATGTCGAAGTAGAGGGTAATGGGATGGACCTGGCAAGTCTCAATGAAAATTCCAACAATAACAACCATTTCAGCACTCCATGCAACTACAATGTAAGTTTGAAAATTGAAGTTTAGCCCATATTTCAGACTCAAAATGCTAAATATTTGCATAAATAACTGTTGATTGTTGCATTTGTTTTTCTGCGCTGTCTTTATTTAGAAAAAAGCTTCCTCCATCCTTCTTCCAGCCGATGCTTCTACGCCACTGCCTTGGTGTGATCAGACCAAGTCTTATCTGAAACGAGATTCTCCAAACTTGGCTTCTAAGCGTTGCCTTAACCTGACTCCTCCCGAAGTCCCAAGTGCTTCATTCCTACAGTCCCATACCTCATCTGAAGGCCTCAGATCCTCAGTGGGACTGCGGTGCCCCTGTGGGCCTCTGTGTGACTGTGCCAACTGTGCTGCCTCCCCAACCAAGGCTCCACTTGAAAGAGAGGAACGGCTTGGAGAATCACTGCAGTTAGTAGAGCCTGAGCATAATGGGGAGTTCTCTGAAGTAAAGACTGAGCTTGATGAGAGTCAGTCTGCTAGTGCCTCAGAGGCTCTCCCTGAGCTGATGAAAATCGATTCTGAGGAAGACAAGCCTGCAGTGGCTTGCTACCTTGGCCAACAACAGGAGACCCTTTTACAGCTGCGACAATCTGGGTTGGTCCGCCGCCGTGCAGAGAGACTAGAGAGACTTGCGGGTTTATCTCAGGAAAGCCTGAACTCTCTGAAGCCTTTGCACGGATGCCAAATGTCCCAAAAGAGTCCCTTTCACACTGAGGAGGACGAGGAGTTCTCCAGCGACTTCGTTAAATCTTCAACGCCATGCCAAGTGCGGTTAGAGCCACTGGTCGTGCCACTGACCAATGAAGCCTTGTTGGGGGTGGTGGGGTCTGGGCTGCTTACACCCACCTCCTCGCCTCACGGCTCCACCTTGACACGCAGCTCCAGCAGCGACAGCCTGAGGAGCGTGAGGGGGAAGCCTGGCCTCGTACGCCAGAGGGCACAGGAGATCGAGACCCGCATGCGGCTAGCAGGCCTTACTGTGCCCTCGAGGCTGAAGCGGTCCAACTCGCTGGCCAAGTTGGGCAGCCTCAACCTGTCCTCCGAGGACCTGTGTTCAGTCTGCTCCTCAGATGCAGGAACACTCCTGCTCCTCTCACTGTCGCCAGAGCCAGACCCCAGCTTGGACTGGGACTCCCCAACCACCTCTGCGCTATCCTGGCCCCGCAAGGACTTGCACACTCCAGAGAGGGCACGACCAGGTGAACCTAGAAGCTGACAAATCAAGTGGAGGCTGTGTACGGTCCACTCATCCCCTCTTCTGTCACCCTGCGGGGCTGAAGAAGGTTGTACAGATTCTGGAAACGGGAAAGGGTCGAGTCTGAGAAAATAAAAAGAAAGCCAACTGTTGTTATAAGGAGTGTATGCTCTCCTTTGCCACATTGTTTCTCAAACTGCTGTTCACAGTGATGAAAGTCATATTGCTGTATCTGAGAAGTGTGTAAAGCCATCAGTTCACCTCTAAGTTGTTTGATTTATGGACAAACAAGTGCCTTACCTACGAGACCAGAGGCACAGAGCTGTGTGTTCGTCCGCAGAACGAGACGGTACAGTGATCTGTAACCTTTAATTTGGTGTCCACTGGCACTTATCTTATTTTTATCTGTCGGGTACAAAGTGGTAGCCTACATTGATGAACTTGATTCCCTCAAAGAGCTTCACATAAAGCAAACTGTTGAATAAACATAGTTGTTTACCACACGGTTTATGTTTAAGATGCTAGCGGGTTGTAAAATTAATGGTTACCTCATGTTGTGTTCATGGAGCTTTTGCGCACATGAACGCCAAGCAAGAGTTCAAGTCAGTTCAGTTGCTGATGTCTAGTTAAAGTGAGGAAATCAGTTTGGTTTTTAAATCCATTTTAATGCATTTACTATGTGTTAGTCCCTGAGTGAGTGAATGGGATGAGAGTAGAGAGGAGAGGTAACTTTTTGCCAGAGGCACGCTCACTGTTCTCAACAAACAGAAACATTTCTGAGTTTGTTGTTCCTTTGCACTGCTTTTTTATTGAGTGAATACTGGTACACAACAAGCTATCTTCCAAAATAACATTGGAGTAATGTTATTGACCTCATCATTCCCTACAATGTTCACTGTTCTTGGGAAAGCGGAGTGTGGAGTCACACTACATGGCTGAAAATCATAAAGCGTGACAGAAACTGGGGGTTTATGACAGCTAAAGTTAGCTGAACATTCTTGACAAAACAACAGAAAACATTACATTCTTTACCTTAAAATTATTTAAGGGTTGCCAACATTTTTAGCTCACATTTTTTTTTTTTTACTATTTTTTTTTTCCCCATGTGAAAGACCAAAGTGTTTTTGTTGGTGTTTTTTTTTTTTTTTTTTTTTTTTTTAAGTTTTTAAGTTTTTAAATTTTGGCTGTCTTAAATAGGAAATGCCGTTGAAGCTGTATAAAACATGTGAATCATAACGTCAATCACGTACATATTTAAATGCTGTCACATCTGTTTTGCACCTTTTGGGAGAAACAAAAGAGACTCGTTGGAGTCACCGGGCTCATAGCTGTTAAGCTTTTACACTCATATCATTAATGAGTTCTGAAGCTTTTGTCACACTGACGTGACAGCGATCACAGTAGGTTACTTCATGGTTTGGTAACCATTTTCTTTTTATATTTAAGTATGCAGTAATTTTTGTACTGTACATTGCTGTAGTTTGAATGCATATTGCACTTTTTATGTTGGTAAAGATACTGTACTGTATGTGTTAATTATGGAAATAAACATTTCTTTTACATAATTGCTTTTGCTCTTCCCTCTCTGAGCATAATTCTTCCAAAACTGAAGAGTTACTCAGGATTTCGTAAAAGATCCAAACGTTGCAATTCGGGGTCAAATGCCAGAGGGGACCGACAGGAATCACAGTCGTCTCAAAACTGAACCTCCAACAGTTAAGAACTGGTTCATGAAGATAAAGTAAATGGAAAAATAACATACAACAACAATACAAAATAACACACATGGAAATACAGTCTATAAAGCAAAAATGGAGTTTGAATAATTCTAACCAGCTTTAAAGTTAATACTTGGTATGAACACCTTTCTTATCATACCAAGTCGTCTTTGTGTCAAAAGACTTGTCTATGTGTCTGACATTTTTCATAGATTCAACTAAAGTGGGAACAAATTTGCTGTTTTTGTGACAAGCTGCTAGTAATAAACTGCCAAAAATACAATTGAAAATCATTTTTTCACCAAGTTGTTCTCAAGACCACTTTCAAAACAATACAGCAAAGTGGTTCCTTGGAGGAAAAATATAACATTTTGAGCCATAATATACATGATTATCAGCTATGGTAACCCTGACTGGGTAACTTAATCCAACTTAATTTACAGATTCAAAACAACACGTACCTGTGGAATAAGTTTTTATTCCGCGATCTTTTGCATTTAAAAACCAAAATGTTTTTTTTCTTTTGTATTTTATTGTTTTGCGATTATTTCCGTTTCCTTGCATTTTTACAACTCATTTTTTTCCCTCTGTCGTGCTCAGTCAGTATCTCTATTTTTTTTCCATGTTCAAATTACAAACAATGTGGATGGATGGCAAATGGAAAAATACGTTTTTGAACTTGTAATAAATAAAAGGTTTTAGTCTTTGAAATGTTTTGGTGAACACAAACAGCTGGAATAATCTTCATGAATGTTCGAACTGTCCGGCACAGATATTCAGACATAATAACGAAATACACGAATCCACTGTGATGGAGTGTGCGCCCTGACATTACATCATGATTGTGCCCTCATCTGTACGCTTTGGCAGAGGAAATATTTTCTAACAGCCAGGTTATATAACATCTGGCTTCCCGTCAGTGTTTGCATGACATCAGTGCATGAGTTAACTTACAGACTCCTGTTTCTGCAGGCCTACGTGACCGTGTGTATGAATGCTGCTCCTGTGCACAGAATAGCGTGTGGTGAGGAAGTGAGGTGGCTAAGCTGCAGTTTTATATCGTGAGTGTGTGTGAATAAAACCCATTTCTACTTGGACTAGTTTGTCAACGGATGTGAAATGAATGACTAGTCCCCTGATGTAACCTGTTAAACAGTTGTAAACAGGCGCATTAATCTGCTAAAAAAAAAAGCCTGCTTCGAGTTAAACATCGCGCTAAACTAGTAACAGATTGTTTTTTTTTTTTAGAGATTAGATTCAAAGTGACCTTTATAAACTCAAACACACCGGCTTATAAGAACACTGGCTGCCTGTCTGTTGGCACAGTAGCTTTCAGTAAGCGGCCGGTGGGTGTGGACGGGCCCCTCTTCCCCTTCGTCTGCCGGTGAATTCTTGGCTGCAGCACCTCCACTTTTGTTTTATTATCTGAGGACACATCCTGTTTGGGACGTTACTCCAGTAACCAAGCGCAAACAAAAGAAATGGCCAGAGCTGTTTTCAGATAATATCCCACTCCCCTGGGCATACAAATGCTCACGGTTTATCCCAGACACAACATAAAAAAACAACAACCCTGCTTTTCTTAACTGCTGGACAGAGGTGTAAAAAAAATGCTAAGCTCGTAACACTTGGGTAAGAGTCCGAGGAAGTTCAGATTTCCCCCCCTACACACACACACACAAACACACACATATTTTTTTTTAAATTTATTTAAATTATAAAAAATGTTAACACAAATAAAAACACGAATCAACTTTTTTTTTTATCTAGCAGAAGGAGGGGAATAAAACTAAATTAAACCAAACTCAAGAAATGTATTCGAAAGCAGGAGGAAATAAGCGCACAAGGAAAAGCAATCACCAAATTAAAAGGGGAAGCGGCCATAATTAAGACACGACAAACAGAGGAAGACGCGAGGAAACACAGAAGACACGGACAAAAGGTAAACAATTAAAGAAAAATACATGCAAGGATTTGGAATTAAATCTAAAAGGAAATTGTTTAAAAACCCAACAGCATTGCACGTTTAATCTACAGCCTCAATTGGTTGGACTTTAACACAGTTAGCAAACGTAATCACCCTCCAAGTGGGTTGAAGTGAGTAAAATAGCAACAGTCCTGCCTGTGTCCTACAGTAGGCCTGTGTTTCACCCTGATCACACAGATTCATATTGAAGCAAAAACAAACTAAGTCATTTTCTATATTTGCTAGTGGGGCTTGTCTGCCTTGTGTCTTATGTCTTTGTTCTCACCTACTTGTATTTGCCATTTCCACTGAAGCTGTTGTTTTCAAATATACACAAACTGGCCACTTTATTAGTGACACCATGCTAGCACCAGGGTGGCCCCTCCCCCCACAGGTTGTCTTAATTCTACAAAATGCTCGAAACATTTCTCCGAGATTTTGGTGCATATTGACTCTCCTGTTGCATCACATCCCAAAGTGCTCTATTGGATTAAGATCTGGTGACTGAAGGCCATGTGAGTACAGTGAACTCACTGTCATGTTTAAGAAGTCAGTTTGAGCTTTGTGACATGACACGTTATCCACTGTGCTCATAAAATAATCGAGGGCTCAGTCTCCTCTTCTTAGTTGGCAGGAGTTACACCTGGTGTGGACTTCCACTGGTTGAAGTTATACTTTGGTTGCAACCAGTGGTTAATTGATTTACCGTGTCCTCTGACATCAACAAGGCATTTTGAACCAGACAACTGAGTTTTTGAAACTCTGGCACCAACAACAATATCACCTCTAAAGTCGCTTAAATCACCTTTCTTCCTGATTCTGATGCTCAGTTCAAACTTCAGCATGTCATGTCTGCAAGTCATGTGATTTGCTGGTTAGATGTTTTCGCTGAACAGGCATACCTAATGAAGTGGCCATTGAATATACATATCCATTGTTGCAATTACACTGTGCTGCTGACTGCCCTCCCCCAGTGATGATTGATGATTTCTGTTTCTGATCGAATATTTCTGTTCTTCATAAACCGTGTGTCCAAACAGTGTTAGAGATATTTAATTTTAAATCTCCAAGACAGCAAAAAATAGATCTACAAGTCCAAGCGCCCCCTGATCTTATTAGTCAAATGTGCTGTGACATCACATGGATGTAATATAAGGCTCCTGTTGCTGGTTTATTTGAGGGAGGACCGATCATCACCAAACAACCAACAAAGAGCACTCTGTCAGTCCTGAGCGAGGAGCGATCGACTTGGCTACAGCGTCTAACTGGTAAGTGTCAGCTGCAACATATAATAAGATATTTAATATTACGCCCAGTGTATTTTGGGAGCAGCAAGCTAGGCTTGTTGCTCTCTTGTGCTTATCAAAGCTTAGGGAAACAGTAAGTTGTGTATTTTCCACATGCTGAAACTTTGGTTTGTGCCTCACTGGTTTTGAATTCCTGGATGTCTGAGTATGCTGGAGCAACAGAGCACATGGGGATCAAGTGATGGGCTTTGGGCATTCAGGAGGGATGAGACCGGATAATTCACGAATTGTTGTTAGCATGGATGAAATGCCTTAAGGGAAGGGGTTCCCTACAATGAGTGAGAGAGTAGGTGGAGGATAATCTGTGAATGTGAATTCTACTGAGCTACGACACTGGCTTCAACCTGACTAGGCCGCATGACGTGAAGGAAAGCAGACGTGTCACTTGTTTTCACTTGATGTCCTCACATCTCCTTCTCCCTTTTATGTGTGCTATCATGCACATCTGCACTCTCTTTCATTATCACAGCTTCTCCACAGAGTTATGCCACCATTGCTTTGTGATAACATTAGCCCCTTTCAACATGTCTCTGGCCAGCATGCAGGCCTGTCAGATGATAAGACAAGAGCAGTCATATGTTGTCACACAGATGGGTGATGAGGCCGTAGACAGGAAACAGACTCCGTGTCCAGATCATTGTTCATTGTATTTAACCATTTTCTCTGCTTACTGCTGCAGTTTGGTGGGTAGTAACCCATTAAACAATTAGACACACTCATGGAAAGGTTTCTCTTCAGCGTAATTGTCTACATTTAACATGCAGCACTGTGCTGAAGTCTCTAGCCACCCACCATATCTTTGTATTCTTCTGGGAAAACTGGAAATAGGTGGAGCAGTTTATTGAAACATCTGCAGAGCTGCACAGTATAAAAAGCAAAAAACAGTGTTTGTACAGTTGTATTGAGCTTGAAAGTCAATATCTGCTATGACCACCTTTATTCTTCAGTACGGCCTGAACTCTGAAGCTCCTCTTTCGATGTCTGTTGCTTTTTCTTCCGTTCTCTGTCAACATAATCTCACATGCTTTAATAATGGTGATGTCAGGGCTCTGGGGAGACCAATCCATGACTGATAGTTTTCCACAATGTGTGTTTTTTGTTTTGTTTTTTTCTTTCTTCTATCGAGTAAAACTGTCAAGATGGAAAAATTAAGCTGTTGGCAATAAAATCAAAATCCGAAGATACTTTTGCGTTCTTAATTTCATCAATTTTGACAAGATGTCCAGCACCACTGACTGAAATGCAGCTGCAATCCATGGCAGAGCTCCGCCTGTGTCTTACAGATAGCTGTAGACACTCACTCTTGTACCATGACTTGTAGATGCATCAACTAAAAGGCTGGACTCTTTTTCTATTTTTTGAGGACATGACTCTTAGGTACTGCACATCTGCTGTTTCCTCAGATGTTTTTAAGCACACATTGCACACCATGCTGAGATATGCCAAGTTTTCAGCTAGTAGGTCTTTGAGAAATATTATTTAGTGCCTGGAAAAACTATGTAATCTTTAACATTTTTGCTAAATTCAGCTAAAGAAATGTGAACAGATTAAATTCTTTTGAGACATACTGCAAG